TATATGTAAAAGAGGGTTTCAAAGTTGTGGTGACGACATCTGTCATGCCACACGTGCATACTAATGACACGTGTCACGCCACGCGTATATCAAATGACACATGTACGTCCATCCATGCATGTGAGTTAATTTTGTATTAAATAATCCGTATTTTTATTTTTTATAAACTCTTCACTTTCCAACAATAAAAAACTATAATTTTTATTAATTTTTTATAAATTCTTCACTTTCTGACTATGTTAAAACTAATTTATTTTTTTGACGTATCTTAAAAATATGCACGATTATTTTATAATTTCAAAAAATTTATGTATATAATTTATTGATTAAAAAGATGTTGCTTATAATTTTTAAAATTATCCATCATATCAAAAAAACTAATTACATATAAATTTTATCACACGTGCATCTTTATTAAATTCATAACATATTTTAGTTGTTTTTCTTATTACATTACTTATTTTATTATATTTTTTTCACAAACTAAACAAAGTAAAAGTTTAATTGAAGGATTACATGTGGCACATACAAATATGCATTATCTAATGATGTGTCATTCCTTAATTGATCTATTTGAGATTTTTTTTTAATTTTTATTAATTAAAACAATTTTCATTATTATTTTATTTGTTGACCATTAATTTTGCATAAAATGTTTATGTCATGCACGCACTACACCTCCCCACATGTCATGTGGCACATGTATATATTTATTATTATTAAATTTTTATAAAAACTTCACTTCTTACATTAAATAACTTATATTAAATTTTTATAAATCCTTCACTTTCTTATACTAAATAACCATTACTGTTGAACAAAAAGAAAATTATTGTTATCAAATTTTCAAAATAGTATTATAATTTTTTTATCAAATATAAGTAATTATTAAATACAAATTTATTTCAAACTTTTTATCTTATTACATACTACAAATAAAAGAATCCACCATTTATTTATATTCTTATTTCTAACAAATAACTATATTTTATTAACTCTATATTTATTAACTATATATTTTACTTCAAAATGTTTTTTTTGGCAACATTATTAAATTTTTTATATAATATTTCAAAACATCAAATTCAATAAACTAGATTTGTTTTTGTTCTAGGATAACATGTGGCATATAGGTCATACACCGCATATGAATCTTTCAATGATTTATCATTACTTAATTGGTTTATTTTGCATTTTTATTTTATTTTTTTAATAATTAAATCAAATTTCAATATTATTTCATTTGATAAAACTTTGATATTTTTTGTCAAGTCGCTCTATATATACTTTGACCATAAAGTGTACAAAAAGTATATTATATTTAATTATAATGTAAATTTAGAAAAAATGTATCTATCTAAAATATTATTTTCATATATCAAGTTTTTATGACATTTAATTATTTAAAACTGTATTTAATTTATAATCAAAGTATTACATAGTTTTACCAAAAAAGCCTAAAAGGGAGTATGTAGATTAAAAATCTTAATATATTTTATTTGATTATTGTATTCATTTGGAGTTTATATGTTATACCATTTTAAAATATGTAACATACACAATTAGTTATATATCTAAAAAAATATAAAATTTATTAATCTTTTAGAAAAGAAAGCCTGATGTTGTTTACTCCGTACAATAAAGTATTTATCATTTTCTCTTTTATTACTTCATTAAGGTAAAAACCACTTCATTAAGGTAAAAATCACGGCTAGCCAAGTTTATGCCGTTTCACATAGTTTTTACAAAAAGGCCAAAAATGAAAGGTGGTTTTTAACATGTTTTTTGTTGTAGAACTATTTAAATATGCCTAGAAGTAAAAACAAATGTTAAAATGTTAAAAACCACTTGGTTGGTTCGAATGCCAAACGCCAGTTTCCGAAAGCCAAATGCCAGTTTCTGAAAGCCGAACGCCAGATGCCTAGGTTTTTGGTTTAGGCGAACACCAAGTGTTTTGGAATTGTTTAAAACTTATGAAAAATGTTTTCATGAATATCAGCCCTAAGATTATTTTTCATTTTTTCATCTTACCCAAACGAACATCAAAACACCAAAACAAACATCAACCGGTACAACGCCAAAATGAACATCTAAAATCATTACAAAAAATGAATCTCTTCAACCACCAACATCAAATTAAAAAACCCCAAAATAGAATAATATCACTCTTCACATTTCACAAAACAAAAGGATACAATATAGCCTTTCAAAATCCTACAAAACCAAAACATACACAACCCTTTAAGACATGCCAAGCGTAGCACGGAAGAAAATCAAATCATAAACCAAACTCTCCATTTTCAACCATCGCATCAATAACA